TCTCAGGAATCTCATGCTGGGAGAAAGAAAATCCAGGCAGAAAAGGATAGTTGTTGCAGGAAAGAGATTTCGCATAGGCCAAACAACTAGCCAGACTGCCTTATGGGATCAGACTGAAGACCTCATAATGATGGGTCAGTAGTCAGAGAGCCCCACCATGACCCTGTGAATGCTCAGCCATTGATGAGACATATGCTCACCTTCTCCTCGTGATTCAGGAAACATTGCAGAAGAAGCCATGTAGAGACTGAAGAGCAAGCCAAGCAGATGGGGTAGATGGGGAAGAGTGTTATGAAATGCTACTCTCTGGACATGACATGGCTAAGAAGTTAATATGTTGTGCTTTCCTGCAGGAAACCAAAGCAGACAAAATTCCAGCATGAAATGGAGAAGACATATAATAATACATATTATATTTAATGACATCTATAAATCATTTTTAAAAATCTAAGAATAAGTAAAAAAAAAAACAAAGAAAAAATGAGGGGTTATAAAAAGAAACATCTGTTTCTTCACTTTGCCCTGTGGCCAACATTATTTTCAAAATTTATAAATGTATATTTGCTTAATGAAGTCATATATAAATAAGATTCCTCCAAAACCCTTGCGACTTTCAGTCTCAGTTTGAAGTGTACACCTTCTCATTGATTGAAATAATGATTCCAAAGGCTACTGCAACTGATGTGATAATTGAAGATTACAGACACAATTAAGGAAATAAAGACAATAGGATTTGGTAATGTCCCTGGCTTTTCAAAAATCAAATGTTTAATACAGAGAAATGTGGAAATGAACTCTCCATTCTTGCAGTGAAATCAATTAAGACAGGCATATGCATTTAAGCTTTAGAATCAAAATGGAATAATTTCCCCCTTGATTTCATGTGGAGTAAGCCTTCTTAAAGTTCACAACATCCTTTTGTTAGGAAATATGAAAGGAAGTTCAACATGATTCACTAACATTGTAACTTTTCCATATTCAAAAACCTCAAGAAACCCTTTGCTACCTCTGTGTTCTTTAACTACATATACGTTCTGAAAGAGTAGAAGGACACTGTCCCCCTTCAATAAAATACAACCATTGTGCTTTATTTTTCAAGATGTATGAGTTAATTAGTCACTCATTAGGCGGGTGCTGATTAATGAAGGCAGACAGAGCTCACACAAAGCCAGTGTCAATGGCTTCATTAAATAATTGAGAGGTGAAGGTTAGCATAAATTTTTTTTTTCTGTGAAGGTCTATTCTAAAAGTGAAGTTGTCTGATATATTTTCTGTGCACTGAAAATGTGTAGTGGAAGTAGTACGGTGAAGTCTGGTAGAGAAGGTAGTAATTAATAATGACTGGAAGAATTCAGAAATGAGTGGTGTGTTAAACCAAGTCATTTCAATCAGATCTAAATGGTGCCTTGGGCAAGTCACCACACTAAATTAGCCAAAATCAAAAGGACTCACTTAAATTTAAAAGTGGATACAGATAAATGTTTCCTTATAATTACGTTTATAAGGAAATCTAACATAACCGACTAATGAAAAATACATTGTTTCATTCAGAAGGTCAAGCTCATAAGTCCACAGCACCATTAACTGCAAGTAAGCCATTATAATCCTTCTCATTTAAAAAAAAAAAAAAAAAAAAAAAAAAAAAAAAAAAAAAAAAAAAAAAACAAGTTTATCTTTAAAATGATCTACGAACTTGCTATTTCTTCCCTTGTCAGTTGATAAATTCTAGAACTATTATTTTACAGATAATCTAGGAAATGGCCTCTCTGTAACTATTATATAAACACACATCATAATTTATCTCAGTGTTTATGGAATCTGTGTCCTCGGATAACACTTTTGGACCTCAGCTCCCTAATCTGATGAGCAATGTAAATCAGGAACCATGCCTGTCTCGTGAACCTAATTCATGCTTGCAAAAAGTATATAATCCACCCAAGAGTGAACACATTAGAAGGTAGACAGGCCTCCTCCAAGTCATGTTGGATAGCATGATAAAGTCTCTCCAAATGATAGAAGGAGAGTTTCACTGCAAAATACATAATTTGGAGTCTTTCAGTACTATGTTACATATTTGATATACTAGGTGTTTTAACTCATCTAAAGCCATAAGTCATAAACAATTTTATATGAACTTGAAAAAAAAACAGGTAAATATGTTTGTCTAGAGAAAAAAGGCTAGCTAGAGTAAATTTTAAATTTTGATTATGTGTTTGTAATGAGTAGTATAAGGTCTGGGAGCACAGGGCTCACATTCCATGAATGGTGGATAGAAGGCAGAGATTGCAAGTTCATTCTTTCCTGCTACTTTTTGGGGATGCCAAGGATTGAACTCAGATTAACAAGCCTATGCAGCAATCTCCTTTACCTGCTAAGATATCTATATTGCTATACCTTGGAATGGCAAACCTCTGATTTTACTGTGTTATTAATCAGCAGATTAAGAGCTTTATCATATTAAATTTTTTGTTGTTTTAGGGTTTTTTTGTTTGTTTTTTGGTTTTGTTTTTTTGTTGTTGTTTTTTTTTTTTTTTTTTTTTTTTTTTTTTTTTTTTTTTTTTTTTTTTGGAGTGGCAAGAGAAATTGCCAATCCTTTAATCGGGGAGGGATTTAGGCTTTACGCATTTAACAGTGATTCTCATTTGTAATACAGACAAGGAACAAACATCTTAAAATAAAGTTTTAGCAATAGAGCTATTATTATGTGGAATTCTAAAAACTACCCTAGCACAGTGATGTGGAGGCTGGAGGATTCAAAGTTCTCATTTTCTAATACAGTTAGCGATTATGCCTACAGATAAGTGTAGCTCTCAGTGTTCAACAAAGAGGCTACTTTTTTTTTTTTTTTTTGCAGCAGAAAGAAACCAGACAGAGATACACAACTGGTAAAATGCCAAAACAACTGACAGTGGAGTACACATTCTCCACAGATACATCTACAACACAACCCCTGTACCTAAGGATCAGGGAAAATAATGGAAGAATGAGTGAAAAGATAGTAAGAGCCAGAGAATCACAAACCTACTGAGAGAGACAGTATTTTCTAGACATGAAAGGGAAGCTTCACCCATGAAACTGCAACAATATGGTAGTCTAAATAGGAGCCGCCCCAAACACCATTTTACATGCCTCCCATGGACAGAGTAAATGTCGCAAGGCCCCATGCCTAGATAAGGAGCGACAGCAACTGATGGATGGTGAGAGGGCACACCGATTTCTTCTAGGGAAGGACTCCCTTATAGGTCATCCAATCCCATGTGGTTGTCTATGATCACACTTATACGCAAGCAACACTAAGTGGACTCAGTAAAATATACACATATATGAGTTCATGAGTTTGAGGAGGAGAAGAGCAGGGAACATGGAGCAAATTAAAGGAAAGTGGTAGGAATTTAATGCTCATAGATAAAATTCTCAAAAAAAAAAAGAAAATTAAATTTAAAACAGAAATTCATACTTATCATGGGTTACATAGTGAATTCAAAGACAATATTGGTTACATGAGAGCTCTTAACACAAAATAAATGACTGACTGGCTGCTGGCTGGCTGAATGAATAGAAGAAATGATCGAAGAGAGTTTTGATCACTTGAGGGGCCTTTCATACGGACATTTTAATTATTTCATACCATAGATAATACACAATCTCTTTCAGCCTTTAATACCCTGCTATTAAAGTTTGCTTCTGCATAGTACAGCCTTATAGTTCTAACTGAGCAATCATTTACATTCAATTTTCTGAAAACGTTGATGGAAGGAAACGATATTTATGGAGCATGGCTTTAATATATGCACTCTATACATCATCTATTCTTGGAACGAGACAAAATCTACCCTTGAATTAAATAATCAGCGTGGCATATATGTTGTATTTTTATCACAACATATGGTCTAAGGCACTTCTAAACAGAGTATTAGGAGATTTTGCAGCAGAACTTGCTGTCCTTGAGGCAAGGTGGTCAGAAACTTTCTATTAAGTTCATGTTGACTCACATGTAATACTCAAAGTTGAATTCTTTTATGAAAAGGATACATCTATGGTACTTTATTCATTTTCTTTATACAATGCTTAATATTCACTTTTCCTTGTAATTTGAACTTTGTGGGAAAAAATTATGTAATTCCCTGAGATACATTCTAAATTATAAATTCTTCTTTTCTTGTAAACTGTCCTTATTCAAAGTGGCAGAGAGACAAAGCACCCAGAATGACCCAGCTCTTGAGAGCCTGTTACTGACAAAGACAAATGAGTCCTAATGAGTTTAGGGGACATTTGACAGCTGAGATTCTGAGCTTTAAGGGAAGAGCCACTGTTCTGAGGACATAATTCTAAATATGTTGGGATAGGAGTAGGTTCTGGGGAAGTCAATGTAATTCTGTGTGTTGTGTGTTTTATGCGTAAAATGTTTCTTTTTAGTTAACAACACACATTTAATAAACAATAACTGACTTTTAAAAATCTCTATTTGCTCACTCAAAGACACAATCAGCTAGTCAAAGAAATAAATAAGGCTCAGTCAGCACACTGAGGTTCTGAAACACAAAATCTGCACTTTTTTTTTTCTCTGACAGACCTACATTTCAACTCTTCCTCCCCATGAACATGCCATTTCAAGTTTTTCTGTGGAGCATATTGTGTTAATGCCCAGATTTTATTTCATTTGTCATGAATTCTGTAGACAGGTTCTAATATAGTTTTCCATCTCTCCAAGATGTATGCTACTTTCTTATTGACATCCTCATTAATTTATTCCAACATAATCCACATTAATAACAGAAATGGAGAACTAGAGAACTGGCTCAGTAGTTAAGAGCCATGGATGTTGTCCCAAAGGACCCCAGTTCAGTTCTGACATTGCAGTTCAGAACTTTCTATAAATTCAGTTCCAGGGGATCAAATATATATAGATACAGGCAAGACACACATATACAAATAACAAAATAAAAATAAAACTTAAGGACTAAAAGGGCGTCCTTCTTACTCAACAGCCCCGAAACAGTATGACTATTATTCAAAAGAGGATGACTCTTCAAACCATGAAGACTGAAAATAGAAGCATTGGAAGATATTTTTGAAAACACATTGTGCAAATTTAAGACCCAGCACTTACATTGTCTCTGATTGCTTCCTCCCTAAGACTGCCTGCCGTATCTCATTTTTGCAAAAGATTTTAGTATTGTGACAGAAAAAGAAAAAGAAGGATGTATTTGTTAAGACAGGAAGGAAAATTAGTGAGCAAATTATCCATGTCCTTGATAAACCAAGTGATAAACCAAGCAAATGTGATCTGACTCATCAACTAAAAAAACATCAGCTTAGAGCCCCCTGATTGTCAGATCACGATCCACCAGGAGTGGCTGTGAATCAAAGAGCAGGAAAATGCCAAACCAAAATCTAGACAGTGACAAACCATGTCTTCAAATATTGTACAACACTATCTGGATACAAAATGCAAACAATTTAGGATTAGATTGAGAAATATTAAGTTCAAGTCACTATAATGAAAGGGAAATGAGGACAAGCCAGAAAATAAAACAATGAGATATTTAACAAAATTCTCCAGACTGTGCCCAGAATAGCCACCTTCTCAATCAGATCACAGATTCTTAGAGGAGGAATGGTCTTCATGTGTGTTTTTCACCATCTGAATAAGAAAGAGGAGGAGCTATATAGAGACTCTCAAGAGACCCAGGAAAAGGAACTTTGAAGAAAGACACCATATTTGACAGAGAATTAGATGTTCTGTAATAGTGGTTTTTAATAAAGTAAGTTAGACTTTTACAAAAAAATATTAGTCATATAGTATAGGATAAACATACTTAAATCTATACTCCTAAAGAAGATAAAAAACAAGAAGGATGCTTAATCCTTAGAAGGGCAAACAGGATAGACATCAGAAGTAGGAAAATACAGGAAATAAGGCAGTAGTCTTCCACATGGGGCCTCTAAAAGACTCTACCCATCATGTTCTTGAAAGAGATACTTAGACTCAGCCAAACTTTGGGCAAAGTGCAGAGAATCCTTGGGCAAACTTTGGGCAAAGAGAGAGATAGAAAGACCAGGAACAGACAGAAGCTCCACATGGAGACCAACATAGCCAAAAACCTGGGCCCAGTGCCGCCTGCAGAGACCGATACTCCAACCAAGGACCATGCGTGGAGAGGACATAGTCCTCCTGCACTGATGTAGCCCATGGCAGCTCAGTCTCCAAATGGGATCCCTAGTAAGGGAGACAGGGACTGTTTCTGACATAAACTCAGTGGCAGGCTCTCTGATCACCGCCCACTGGGAGTACAGCCTTGCCAGGCCACAGAGGAAGACAATGCAGGCAGCTTTGATGAGACCTGATAGGCTAAGGTCAGGTAGAAGGGGAGGAGGTCCTCTTCTATCAGTGGACTAAAGGAGGGGCAAACAGGGAGAAGAAGGAAGGTGGATGGGACTGGGAGGAGATGAGGGAGGGGGCTACAGCCAGAATACAAAGTGAATAAATTGTAATAAATAATAAAGGAAAAGGAAAAAGAAAGAAAGAAAATAGTAGGTGACCTGCTTGCATAGTTTTGATTTATCAGCTCATTTTACCCAATTTAAAGTACAGGATGACTTCTTATCATGTCAGAGAAATAAAAAAGTATTTTTCCAGGTGAAACATTTCTTCCAAGCAGTAAAAGGAAAAGCCATTTAAAGCATAACAACATATTTTAATAGACATTTTCATTAATTATATGCCTGACTTGAAAGCTATTGAAAGATAAGCCCGAGTAACTTTTTTTTTTCAAAATAAAGCATCAACATTTTTTCTCAGTTGCAAATTGACATGCTGTGAAATTAAACCATATAACAGAAACTGAAAAACAACTTTATGTTTTTAATTTTTTAAACTGCAAATCATACAATAGTTTGAATAAGAAAAATGATTTTTAAAATAAAATAAAAATATGAGCAGTATTTAGCCCCCTTTCATTGCAATATAACTTGACAATTGTCTCATAGCATAGAAATTGGAGTCATGTTTTGTCTTAATTTATGCCATAAATTATAAGACATAAATATATTCTTTTTTATTATTTTATTATTATTACTATTAATTACAATTTTATTCACTCTGTATCCCTGCTCTAGCCCCTTCCTTCATCTCTAGTTGATAGTCCTAATGAGACCTGATAGGCTAGGTCAGATAGTAGGGGAGGAAGGCCTCCACCTTCAGTGGACTAGGGGAGGGACATGGTGGGGATAAAGGAGGGAGAGTGGGACAGGGAGTTAATATAGTCTTGATGATAAGAAAGTTAACAGGACAGAAAGTGTGGTACATTTACATAATGGAATATTACTTACTCAGCAATTAAAAACAAGGAAATCATAAAATATGCAAGCAAATTGTGGGAACTAGAAAAGATCATCCTAAGTGAGGTAATCCATAAGCAGAAAGACAAATATGATATTTATTCACTTATAAGTGGATAGTAGCCATATAATATAGGACAAACATACTCAAATCTATAGTTCTAAAGAAGCTAAACAATAAGGAGGACCCTAGGGAAGATTCTTAATCCTCATTCAGAAGGGTAAAAAGAATAAACCTCTGAAGTAGGAGAAGAAAAGGAACAGTTCAGGAGCCTTCCACAGAGGACCTCTGAAAGACTCTACCCACCAGTGTATCAAAGGAGATACTGAGATTTATAGCCTAACTTTAGGCAGAGTGCCAGAATCCTTATGGAAAAAGAGGGAGACAGAAACAGATCTGGAGGGAACAGAAACTCCACAAGGAGAATAGCAGAGCCAAAAACCTGGGACCAGGAGGGCCTGCAGAGACTGATATCCAACCAAGGACGATGTATGAAGAGGACCTAGGCCCCCTGTTCAAAGGAAGCCCACTGGCTGCTCATTTCAAAGTGGGTTCCCTAGTGAGGGGTACAGGGGCTGTTTCTGATATGAGCTCAGTGGCAGGCTCTTTGATCACCTCCCCCGGGGAAGGGGGTTGCAGCCTTGCCAGGCTACAGAGGAAGGTGATGCAGCCTTGATGAGACCTGATAGGCTAGGGTCAGATAGAAGGGGAGGAGGTTCTCCCTAATCAGTGGACTAGGGAAAGGGCTTAGGGGGAAAAGAGGCATGGTGGGTGGGACTGTGAAGAGATGAGGGAGGGGACTGCAGCAGGGATACAAAGTGAATAAATTGTAATAAATAATATATAAATAAAATTAAATTAAAAAAGAAAGTGAAAAGAGAACCAGGTAGACTGCAGTTAAGCCATTCATTACAACAAATAAAGATTTTTAATATCATATCACTGTTCATTGATGTCTTTTTATTGTTACAGTCAAAAATAAAGGCAGCAACATGCACATATGAACATGCATTTATTCTAAATATACATTGGGTTTTAAAATAATTTTTATAATCCCTTTCTTTCTGTAAATTTGCGTTTCCATCTGGTATCATTTCCCCTCAGATTTAGAAAAGGTTGAAGAATTTCTTTACAAAGAAGTTTCTGTGTTAAATCTACCTTTTGAAATTTCAGTCCCAGAATGTTAGGTGTTAGACTCTTCATTGTCTCTGAGGCCTCGCTCACTTTTCTTCAATACTTTTACCCTCTGTCCTTCAGCTTTGATAAGTTCTATCCTTAATGCAACCAATTTTCTTCTCTGTCGCCTCCAATCTTCTCTTGAGTCTATGAAGTGATTTTCATTTTCATTTAAGCCACTGCATTTTCAGGATTATAATATTCTTTCCTTCCTCTTTTTTTTCTGTGGGTAGACTTCATTCATTGACCCCTTATTTTCCCTTAAAACCTTGGAAATGATGTAATAGCAGCTCTGACATCCCTGAATGCTAATAAAAGCTTAATAGTGCTTTACTGTCATGGTTTACCAATTGTTAGTTCCAAAGTATGCTGGAATTTTCACTTTCTTCAAATATCTTTGGATTTTTGAATGGGATAATGAAAGTTAGTGGTATATTGAAGAGAGAGGTTTGTTATATTTTTCAGAAAATGTATTTCTAAGAGGCAGTCACTGTAGTTGAGTACAATGGTAAACTAATAATTTCTTAAGGTCAATAGCACATATCTTCTATTCAGTTTCTTAAGCTTTACTCTTTCCTTTTAATCTTACACACATTTTCTCATCCAACATCTCTAATTTATAATTCCTCACAAAAATTTAAAGTATATTTTATACCTGGATTTTTGTTGCTTTTTCCTTCTATGTAGTCTTCCCTTTCAAGTGTTTTCTTTTAACTGACAGGAAGGCCCCCTAAATTTCATAGTAGCAAAATTTTGCACTCACTGAGATGCATTTCTTTTCTCTCAGCAGTATTCTGATTTCTCTCTACTGACTTCAATTTTTTTAAAAATGTGTTGGAGCTAGTGAAATAGCTCAGTGCACTTGCCGATCTTACAAAGGACATGGCTTCAGTTCTCAACAGAAACATAGTGGTTCACGATCATCTGTAACTCCAATTCAAAGGGATTAAATACTTTTGTCTTCCATAGATACTGCATGAGGGTGGTGCACTTACACACATGTACACAAAACATACACATAAAGTAAAAACATATTTCAAAATTATTTAATCTCTGTTTCACGTAATCATCTATAAGTCTTTTTTTTTTCTTTTTTAATTCTTTATTAATTACACTTTATTCACTTTGTATCCCTCATGGTTCCCTCCCTCCTCCCATTCCAATCCCTCCCTTCCTCCACCCTCTGCATACATGCTGCTCCCCAAGTGCACTGATAGGGGAGGTCTTCTTTTCCTTCCTTCTGATCCTAGCCAATTAGGTCTCATCAGGAGTGGCTGCACTGTCTTCCTCTGTGGCCTGGTAATGCTGCTTCCCCCTCAGGGGGAGGTAATTAAAGAGCAGGCCAATCAGTTCATGTCAGAGGCAGTCCCTGTTCCTATTACAATGGAACCCACCCACTTGGATACTGGGCTGCCATGGGCTACATCTGTTCAAAGGTCTTAAGTTATCTCCATGCATAGTCTCAGGAAAGACTCCTGTGCTCAGAATGTTTGTTTCTGTTGCTCTCCTTGTAGAGTTCCTGTCCTCTTCAGATATTACTGTTTCCCTCTTCTTTCCTAAGATTCCCTGCACTCTGCTCAAAGGTTGCCCATAAGTCTCAGAATCTGCATTGATAATCTGCAGGGCAGAGACTTTCAGAGGTCCTCTGTGTCAGACTCCTGACTTGTTCTCTCTTTTCTCCTTCTTCTGATGTCCATCCTGTTTGCCTTTCTGGATAGGAATTGAGTACTTTTAGCATAGTCCTCCCTCTTGATTAGTTTCTTTAGGTGTACAGATTTTAGTAGGTTTATCCTATATTATATGTCTATATGAGTGAGTATATACCGTGTGCGTCTTTCTGCTTCTGGGATAGCTTGCTCAGGATGATCTTTACACAATGGAATATTACTCAGCAATAAAAAACAAGAAAATCATGAAATTTGCAGGTAAATGGTGGGATCTGGAAAACATCTGTAAGTCTTAACAATGAAAGTTTGTCTAATGAATATTTAAATTATTTTAGTTCACATGTATATCATCTTGATTCACAGATAATAATCTAGATTATATAAATAGCATCTTTGAATACATTTGCCAAATGCATTAGTTGATTTTCTACTGTTCCTTCCTTCCTTACACTACTGAATTAATGTATGGCTTGATCTTTTATTCATTTTTTTTTTACCTTCCTGTCTTCTTTACAAAAGCAT